TGAGAGAGAATCATTGATCGGCTGCCTCCTGCACGCCCCACACTGGGGATCGAACCCACAACCCGGGCATGTGCCCTGACCAGGAATCGAACCATGACCTCCTGGTTCATAGGTCAACACTCAACCACTGAGCCACACAGCTGGGTGTACCTGTGAACTCTTCATCTACTGATATGTGATACAGCTCAGTATATCAAAGATTTTGTTTTGATGGAGAGGAAAGACCCAGGAATCTTTAGTTAGTCTGATGACCAGCCTAGATAAGTAGTTGACAAACATTTGTGTGAAGGGCCAGATAGTAAATATTTTAGGCTTGGGAGTGGGTATACAGTCTGTTGCAATTATTCAACTAAGGCCTGATAGCATGAAATAGACAATATATAAATGAATGAGTGTAGCTATGCCTCAATAAAACAAAAAAACAAACAAGTGGCAGGCAGGCTGATCTCTGTCCTAGATTGAGAGCTTACTAAAAACAAGTTTTTAAAAAAACATGTAATGTACATGATGACTATAGTTAACAATGTTATATGGTGTTTTTAAAAGTTTTAAGAGATCCTAAGAGTTCTCCTCACAAGGTTAAAAAATTGGAGTTTTCTTTGTATCTATGTGAGATGATAGATATTAACTAAACTTATTGCGGTTATCATTTCACCATACATGAAAGTCATTATGCTATATACCTTAAACTTACACAGTACCATATGTCAATTACACCTCAATAAAACTGGGCTAAAATATCATGTGAGTCTATTCTTAGGCTCATTCTCCCCGAGGAATATATTTTCCTGTGCTATAGCAATAAAATAAAATAAAAAAACACCACAATATTATAAAATACCAAGTATCAAACTCAACTTCCATTCATGGAATCCTATCTGTAAACTGAGGCACAACATACTGTGTCAAGTCTCCATGGTTATTTCTTTATTGGAAGATTCTCATCTCAGGAGTAGGTAAGTGGAGTGGAGTGTGACTGGGGAAATATTCACCAAGCTCATCTATTCTTTACATAATTGATTTCCAAATGCAAAAGCATTCAGAGCAGATATTTTTGAAGTGAAGCAAAACAAAACAAAAACATAACCACAAAACTCAATACCACAAGTTGTAAGTTAGATTCTAATGAAGTCTCTCAGGGCCACGGCATTTAAAACTGCTTCCAAGGAACTCTTTGAAGCTGGGAATTCTTTACCTTTGAAAAAGCTACAGTTAGAAAAATCACCTTTATTCCAATACTCAACATTCAAGAAAATACTGTACGTAAGCTTGAGGGAAAAATGTCAACAGTGCTGAAAAGCACCATATGCATAGTACCAATAGCACCAAATAGAGAATCCAGCAAGACATTGGAAATTAAATGGTCAATAAAATATAAGGATACACATGCAGGGCCCTTTCTGGAAACAGAGCAGCCATTAAGGTGGGGGGAGGAGAGAGAGAGAGAGAGAGAGAGAGAGAGAGAGAGAGAGAGAGAGATTTAATACAATCACTTAGAGAAAATTATTGAAAATAAAATGTCAAATTCAGAGAGTGTCTTTTCACCCTGAGGTATTAAAAATATGCAATACTAATAGCATCTCTCCCTCACATCCCAGGACATGGCAACAATAGTAGGATTCTTCTCTCCTATCACTTTAGAAGAGGGCCTCCTGTTTCTTTATTAAAATAAAACTAGACGCTTTTGATTTGCTGTTCTTATCTAAAATGCATGAGATATTTTTTTTCTGTCAATGGGTTTGTAATTTCTGAGGCTAATTTTTGTGTATAAAGAGGGTTTATGTGTTATGTGCCATAGAGTCAGCCCTGATTCCTGGTGACCCTATAAATGAGTAAGGTCCACAATGTCCTATCCTAGAATAAAAACCTCAAATTAACTTCAAATTAAAAAACATACAATAAAGATGAAGCTTGTGGGCATTACCCTAAGTAAAATAAGTCAGACAGAGAAAAACAAAATTCTGTTTAAAGGCTAATTGTGTAAACACTTTGATATATAGTAAGATAAAATCTATTTTATAGGAGAAAATTCCTCTAAAGTAAAACTCTGGAGTCCAATCATTAGTATTTTTATAAAAGGTACAGTAATCAAATAAGCTGGTGTGTTCTGTTTACCTAACTCATATTGACATTCCATTTAAGTGCTGACTAAAGAGGGAAGAGCTATTAGTTCAACCAAACTAAGGGTTCTGAACCATAGTTCTGCATGTAATTTTCTTTGTATTCAGAACAGCTAATGACTCAAGTGTGACATATATGATGTATGTTGTGTATAAAGTCCTTAATAAATCAACATAACCCAACAAGAAATTAAATCTATCAAAAATTGATGTCTTTGACCAGTAAATATTCATTTATTAATAAATGATTTGATCCATAGTTTACATGCAGATCAATACAGGCAATACAGTTCAGCATAAACAACAAGACAATCAGCCTTCATATATATTGACAAGTTTCCCAATGGTCTGTTAATATACAAAAGACTGGGACAAATTACTTATTTATATATACAAAACATGGTTATAAAGGCCAGCTGCAGGTATTTTTTTGGAAAGTGCATTTTAATAAGGTTCTATTCAGTTAGGGAACAAATGGGGAAGAAGTAGTTTGCACTACAGAGTTTTAGCGCAAGAGCTTTCTCTTTTTCTAACCACAAAATCAATCATTTGTCCAGACTGTGGGAGTCAGAGTTAGTTACTGAAAAGAGCTCCGTATATAAACAAGTCAATAACTCATTGTGTGTTATTGTCCAGCTGAAGAAGTCGGCTTTCAAAAAGCTGCCCCTGCTTCTCTCAGAATGAATGTCACTGTATTCAGGGACTGGGAGAGTCCTTTGTTTCTAGCCATTGCTGGCTGCCATTTATGTATGGGAACAGGAGGTGGCTGCTAGGATTGTGGGGAAGCCATTATTTGGAATGGTGGATGTCCAGGAAAAACTCTAAATTTTGTCAACATAAATAATTTGTGTCTGGAAATGCGTTAATGGAATCAATAAAGAATGGCCACATACACAAAATATTTGGTAAAAGAATTAAGTAATAATGAGTCTGTGTCATTTGTATTTTTGGTTTCTTACATATCAATGAAGATTAATCCAAAATATATAGGCAATGGTCAGAAAAGTTCAAATGTATAAAATCAAACTAATAAACAGGTCAATGTGTCAAATAAATGCTACCTGCCATAAATAGTAAGAGTGATTCTTGGGACTCCCAAATGGGGTTTTCAAAGTGTGTGTGTGTGTGTGTGTGTGTGTGAATTTGTTTTAGGAATGATTTTATGTATTCAACACTTGTGATAAGTTAAAGAAATGTGAAC